CAGACATTACTTCGAAATCGTTCAAACAGAATCTACATATACCACATTTACCAACACACGTACATTCGCATATACAAAAAGCAATTATTCTAAACACACGACAATAGCAAAAAAATTTCTACAATAGAGACACCTACATGAATTTGGTGTAGCCCGTTCAAGATAGGCACAAACTAGAGATGAATTCACCTCTGAGAACTCACGAAGAAAATAATAATAACAATGATAAAAACAATGTTAATAATAATGATAATAATAATGATAATAATAATGATAAAAACAATAATAATAATCGATTGTCTGATCCTTTCGGAGGTTAGGTTGACGTTAGGCTTCTCGTCAGGTCCCTCAGCCTCTCCTGTTGAAATCTACCACACCTTCTCCAGGCAACCGCTGTGTGCTTAACCATTCATTACATACATACACGTGCTCGCGCCTGGTCGGGGGATCTGGCGGTATATGTGTGAGGGAGACCCTATAAAGGCTCTCCAGAGCGAGTGTTGGGGGTCCTATAAACGGGTACCACCCATGAATGTTGTGGGGGCGTCCCTATAAACGGGCAACTCCGACCGGGTTGAGGCCCTCAAAAGGAGACTACTTCTGGTTTGTGTGCTTCCCTAAAATGTACCACTGTTGATAGGTAACCTAAGTCCCATCTCCCGTAGTTGTGGAGGGATGAGGGAGGAACGGTTGAGATCACCGGACAGTAGAAGCGTTCTGACACAGAGGGAGCACAGAACGGATAGCTGGATTGAACAACAACTAGCTAGTCTTCTGACCACCACATACAAAACACATTATACACACTGTCAAAGATCGTGGAGTTATAAAAGTGGAAAACACACTCAAGAATAAAGCAGGTTTCACAGTGCCACCTGTGCCAAACAGCAAAGAGTCGGGCCCAGAACCTCCACCACATTGGCAGGTAACCAGGCCAACGTGGGTGGTAAAGCTACAGGGAAGAAACGACAAGCCGCAGCGGAGGCCGTGATGCCGAGTGAGGAGGTAACGCTTGTTCCTTTGCTCTTGGTGGGCTAAACTGCGAGAAGAAGAAAATGCAAGAAATCCTCGCAGAGATGAAAAGGGCTACGGAAAAGCAAAAGGATATTCCAGGTCTCATGGAGCTGATGAACGTCATCTGCTCCTATCAGTCTACGCGTTTTAAAGTCCTTAAAGATCTGCAGGACCGGCCGGCGTGGAAGTGAAGGCCTCCATGCACACCGGCGAGCACAACTGCGTCCCAAAAACAGGGTGGGCGCACTTCTCTCGAGTCTTGGACCACCGTCGTAGGAAGGAAGAAGGAAAAGAATAAGAAGAGGAAACTCCCCTAAAACAATAACCATGGAGTAGGTTGTTGGGCTGACAGAAGCTGCCAGGTCGCAACAGGTGAATACAACTGGAGCGCCGCAACCTGTAACGATGAAGAAACAGAAAACCGTAAGACAGCGCCCCAAAAAAGCGCCGTCTTTATCCAATGCAGAGAGGGCAAGATATATGCCAAGATTCTTCAGGAGACTCGCACCAAGATGCGGCCGTATTTTCTCGCGATGGAACTTTGCATTGCAATCGCGAGCGTGGCGCATCTCCAAGATATTGTCCGTTATCCGGGCGGATATGAATAACCTTCTACATGGACAAGCCGGTCGACGCGCTTGATTATAGCGAGGAAGTTGACCGCACTCGTAATCTGGAGAGATTCTATGACGAGGTCGCACGTCAACCAGGTTCTCGCTCATCAAGACCATTGCCGACGCCCTCTGGCAGACAGGAGGTCATTGTCACACTAGCACCGCAAAATATCCTCGATCAAATGTCCAAATGGACTTGCCATTTCAATGGGTGGTTCCTCGAGAGAGTGGAGCAGTCCCAGAAAGAGTACCGATTGGCAGGGGTTCCTGGAATTACTTAAAGGCGACGCCCAGCTGTGGTTCTGAAACAATGTGGCCAAATTCAGAACCTGGAGAGAACTTGAAGCCGCATTGAAGAAATATTTTCTATCGTCGGACGAGATGTGGCATCTCGTCACGTAGATTACCAGTCGGGTGCAGGTGTCCCGTGCGCCGATACGAGAGTGTGTTACGTCATCTCGCCAGATTTGGTGCCACACGCTTTCGTATATCTCGATAACATTGTGATCGTGTTAACCTCGATCTCGAATCATTGTTGAATCCTGCACAAAGTTTTTCGTCGGTTGAGAGAAGCGAAACTCCGACCAAACTGGGAGAAATGCCATTTCGCACGTCTCCAGCTGAAATACCTCGGGCATCTGGTCGACCCTACTGGACTCAATACCGATCCTGAGAAGGTCGCGGCTGTCGCCAACTTGCAGCCTCCAACTAATGTAAAGCAGATGCGATGTTTTCTCGTCCTGTAATCCTAACATTGGCGATTCTTGCGAGATCTCCTGCAGAGTGCGGCGCCGCTGACACAGCCCTTGAAGAAGAAGACCCCGTGGACCTGGAGAGAAGAGCAACAGCGAGCGTTCGAGGAATTTCAGGAAACTCTAGCCCTAGCAGCAATGTTAACCATGCCCAATTTGAGAAAAAACGTTCACGTTGCAAACAGATGCAAATTTGGATGGCCTCGGCATTGTACTAACACAGGCTAGCGAAGACAGCGAATGTGTCATCGCTTACGACAACCGCACCTAGACATTTTTCGTCTGGAAAATGTGACACTATCTCGGAGGGTGCCACTTCGTTGTCCTCAGCGACCACGGGTCTCTCAAATAGCTGAAAACATCGACAACCCAGTATGGGCCATGGAGCTCGTACAATGGGACTTCGAAATAAAGTACCGGCGCAGATAAAAAAACACGAAGTGTCCTAGCGAATTCCTGGAGTATTGTATGCAATTGATTGCGCCATCACATGCAGCATATACTCGATTTCAACGAATTCGACCCGGGAGAAGAATGGAAACTGTGTCTCGCCGAACACGACCGGGGCGGCATGCTGCATCGCCAAAACACTCGCCAGGCATTGTGAAATTGAAAAAGCTGTGAAAATGACCAAAAGCATAAGACAACCCAGGACGCGCCGGGCAATAAGATGCACATGACGGTCGTGCAGCATCCCTGAGAGATAGTTTTAGCGGTAACATCACGTTCCTGATATTACAAGATCAATTCACAAAATAAATGGAGTTGTGGCCGCTACGAAGAACAACGGGACCCGCGGTGACTCGAGAAATTAAGGAGTTAATAATCTTTTTGGAAACATTTTCTATAAAATGTCTCCAAAATACGAGATGCCCTCATCTGAGCACGGGGGGTATTACTATAGCGGAAAACGTCGAAATAAGATTTTCTTCCATCAACTGTAAACTTTATTTACGTTCTCCATTCAATATTGATGGTGGTTGCCAATGTTCACCTCACCAATCCCTAACGAATTTCTCCACTACCTTTATCCCATTGCAAAACCTAAAATAAAAAGTTATGCATGTTAGATGCTATCAATTTCAATATCACATACTATCGTAAGGTATATTTCAGTTATTCAAAATGTATTTATTAGATCAGTGTAGTTTACTTACATCATGTTCAAACTCCCGTATTTTCTACAAAATGTCTCCAAATTACGAGATACCCTCTTCTGAGCAGGGGAGGTATTGCTATAGCGGACAACGTTGAAACAAGATTTTCTTCCACCAACTGTAAACTTGATTTACGTTTTCCATTCAATGTTGATGGTGGTTGCCAATGTTCACCTCACCAATCCATAACGAATTTCTCCACTACCTTTATCCCATTGCAAAACCTAAAATAAAATGTTATGCATGTTAGATGCTATCAATTTCAATATCACATACTATCGTAAGGTATATATCAGTTATTTAAAATATATTTATTAGATCAGTGTAGTTTACTTACATCATGTTCAAACTCCCGTATTTTCTACAAAATGTCTCCAAATTACGAGATACCCTCTTCTGAGCAGGTGAGGTATTGCTATAGCGAAAAATGTTGAAACAAGATTTTCTTCGACCAACTGTAAACTTTATTTACTGTTTAGGCCACAATAGTTATTTCTGCCCGCTAACTCGCGACCTTGCGTATGACACCACCATTGGTGTGTTCCGATGTACCGCTTGTCAGGTTTTTGTGAGAAGTGAAGTCCCTTCCTCGCGCCGTGTCCGAAATCGCCGCTGACCTCGCGGAAGGGACCGAACCGCCCCCGACAGTTTCTCGCTTTTTACCCAAAAAGGACGCAGTTACGCAGAAGGGGGTGGGGCCCCAGCGTCTAGGATGCACTCCTTCGGGGAGGGGGAATGGGCATCTAGCAATAACCCAAAGTGGACGGAAGTCTGGCAAGCACACGGGAAAAACCCAAAGCCTGCGCTTGCACCCCCGAAAACCGATAGATGGTCCGCTCTTTTCGCCGCTTGGAAATTTCGGCTTTATGACACGGCTTGGTTCTAAAACCCGTTGGAAAAAATACGCAGGCCTTGCCGCCTGCATGCCAGATGCGAATCCGTTGACCGCTGCGCCTACAATGGTGCTATAAATCTCGTTGGCCCGCGTCGCCAACATTCCGCCCACCTTGAACAAGCTGTGCATGTTCAAAATAATAGCTAATGGTTACGAACTTATCCTAGAAATAGAACTCACGCTAACACACACTACTAAATACAAATATATACAATATAATCTAGATTTTATCAATATTAGAATCATTGACATCTGATTTGGAGTCGGTGTCATCTATAGGTAGCATGCATAATTTTGCAACTGGCCTCTTGAATATGCCATCTGCAGTTTTGGCTGTCGCTACTCGTGCTCCACCATCAGTACCAAGATGAAGCTCCTTGATCCTGCCCAAACGCCAACGCAATGGTGGCAGATTATCTTCCTTGATAAGAACCAAGGTACCAACTTCCAATGTCTGTGGTGAAGATGTACGCCATTTAGAGCGCTGCTGCTACTGATGCAAATATTCCTTTTTCCGACGCTGCCAGAAATGCTGGAACATCTGTTGTATTAGTTGCAATCTGCTTAATCGATTCGTCTTAATGTCCGTGAGATCAGGGCTTGGTAATGCGGTGGGAGCATCACTTATTAAAAAATGCCCAGGAGTGAGAGGATTTAAATCATTTGGATCGGATGATATTGGACTTATAGGTCGTGAATTTAGACATGATTCGACTTGCGTTAACAATGTGTATAATTCTTCGAACGTTAGCCGCTGTTCGCCGATAATTCGCTTTAAATGGTATTTGGCTGATTTTACTCCACTCTCCCATAATCCTCCAAAATGAGGCGCATGTGGAGGACTCAGTCGCCACTCTATACGCTCTTCGCTTAACAAATTCGAAATCTTTGAATTATATTTCTTACTATTTAACAATGTTCCTAATTCCTTTAGCATGTTCCGAGCTCCAATAAAATTTGTTCCGTTATCCGTAACAATACAGTGGGATCGACCCCTACGTGCTATGAATCTTCTAAAACAATTCAGAAATGTCTCCGTGCTGAGATCTGTGGCTAATTCCAGGTGAAGAGCTTTAGTAACAAAACATACAAATCCGCACAAATAATATTTCGCAGTCACCTTACTTCTCGTTCTTTCCTTAGTGAGAAAAGGACCCGCATAATCAATACCGCTGGTATGAAAGGCCCGTGCCGGTGTCACTCGAGCAGCAGGTAGCTCTCCCATGATACATTCTATGCCCCGCGGATTTACTTTGAAACATTTTACGCAACTCCTAACTATGCGCCTCATATTTCGCCTACAAGCCAACGGCCAATATTTTTCGCGCAGCGAAGCCGTGACGAGTTCGCTACCTGCATGCAAAAGTCTAATATGTTCATACCTGATAATTAAATCCGTTAGTGGATGCTTTCGCGGTAGTATAACAGGATGTTTTTTTGAATATAATATAGGAGCCTTACCTAACCTACCGCCCACCCTGATTAATCCTACACTGTCCAGAAAAGGGTTAAGCGAAAGCAATGTACTTGATCTGGGAAGCGACCGCGTTTTCTGTAGTGCGGATAGCTCTTCCGAAAAACCTTCTTCCTGCGCAAGGCGCAACAAAGTTTCTTCTGCTAAACGCAACTCCGCAATAGCTAATGCCTTTGTTTTGTAAATTTGATTCCACTTGGATTTGTGCAATCCCCGTAAATTATTGAAGAATCTCAAACAATAAGCAGTTACTCGCACCAAACGTGAATAACTGGAAAACCTTTTAAGTATGCTATCATCTGCTATTTTAAAAATAACCATGGTAGTATTTACCTGCCTCTCCTCGGATGCGTCGACCATTTGGATCTTTGATTCAGGCCAATGCTTGCAATCCATTGATAGCCATGCCGGACCTGCCCACCAAATGTCAGCGGACGCCAAGAAAGAAGGTGCCGTACCGCGGGATATCATGTCCGCTGGATTATCTTGTGAAGCTACATGATACCAATGCTCACTATCACTCAATGCCTGTATCTCCGACACCCTGATGGCTACGAAAGTTTTCCATCTATTTGGAGATTGCTTCAGCCAAGTGAGCGTAACAGTAGAGTCCGACCAATATCGAATGCTATTTATTGGCATGCTTAAAGCACGCTTTGCCTTGTCTACTAATTGAGCTAGTAGTAATGCCCCGCAAAGCTCTAACCGAGGCACAGAAATTGTTTTTAAGGGCGCAACCCTTGATTTTGTACAACGCAAACGCACTTCTCAAATACCTGACGTCGTCAAGGACCGAAGATAGGCACACGCCCCGTAAGCCTTTTCCGATGCGTCCGAAAAGCCGTGTATTTCTGTGCTTTCAAGCTTACCCATTGCTACGTAACGCGGAATTTTTAATGAAAATAATTCCTGTAAATCATTGCGATACTGCTGCCATTGAGTATGCAACTCCTGAGAAATCGATTCGTCCCAGCCTATTTTTAATATATTGTATATATATTGCCATAATTCCTGCATTATTATCTTCGCCCGCGCGATAATTGGCCCTATGATTCCCAACGGGTCAAAAATCTGGGCTATTTCCGAAAGAATAACGCGTTTTGTAACTTGTCTATGTTTCTCGAATGACAAAGATCTGAGTAGATCCTCGTCTGGTGACCATAATAAACCAAGTGTCTTTGGATCCTTATCGATGTTAATTTCCTTTTCCTCAACAGACTCTAAAATGTTCTTTAAAATGTTTGGACTATTTGTTGCCCATTTCCGCAACTGAAACCCGGCCTGTTCTAAAATATTCGTTATTTCATCCCTCAATTTTTGTGCATCCAAAATGGTTTTCGTACTGGTCAGCAGATCGTCAACATAGAAATCATTAATTATAATTCTACTAGTTTCCGGTAAACGTTCCGCACATTCAAGGCCGACTTGGTGCAATACTCGTGTTGCAAGAAATGTTGCGGAAGCTGTACCGTATGTCACCGTGTTTAGTTCATATGTCTGAATCGGATCTGTCGTATTCCTTCTCCACAGAATCCGTTGGAACCGCCTATCTTTAACCTCAACCAACACCTGCCTATACATCTTAGCTATATCAGCACTCAAAACATATTTATGCAAACGGAATCTATTTAATATCGAGAATAGATCGCTTTGCACCGTGGGACCTACCAATTGTGTGTTGTTTAATGCAAGACCTGAAGATGATTTAGCCGAACCATCAAATATTACACGAAGTTTTGTTGTTGTACTGCTATGCTTATAGACGGCGTGATGAGGGAGATAATAATTTAACTCAGAAGCATTATATGTATCCGAAACTTGGGACATGTGTCCCAGAGTCTCATACTCATTCATGAATTGAACATATTGTTCCCGCAGTTCAGGCTGCCTGACCATTCTTCGCTCTAACGCAAGCAAACGCCTTTCGGCTTGGTCGCGTGAATTGCCTAACTTAGTAAGGTTATCCTTGAATGGAATGCTAACTACGTACCGGCCGCTCGAATCCCGATGAGCTGTTTCTAAGAAGTGCGCTTCACAGTCATCTATTTGATTATTAGTACGCGGTAACTCTTCTATCTTCCAAAATCTTTCTAGCTGTCCTTGCAATTCGGAATTTGTAACTACCTGCAAATTACATCTATTCGTGAGATTCGGCGCGTGGCTAGCTGGGCAGGTCAATTTTCCCCCTAGAACCCAACCGAACTGAGTCTTCTGCCATAATAGCTCAGACCCGGCTTTGTGTTGACCGACACACAAAACCTTCCAAAATAGACCAGCGCCGACGAGCATATCTACTCTTCTGCAACTGTCGAAATGTGAATCCGCCAGAAATATATTTGTTGGTACTGATATTGCTGATCTGTTTAGAGGCATATTAGGCATGTCCTCCGTTATGTTATTGATAGTTAAACAAGAGATATTAGTCCGAAAACTATTGCATTTGGAAAACAGCTTTAACTCTACCCGACCTTTGATTGAGTTCGGAATTCTTCCTAATCCTGAAACCCTCGTTTTTACTGGAATAGATGGTATTCCCAATTTTTTGCTAAATTCAAGCGTTATGAAATTAGTTTGAGAGATCCGGAATCTAATAATAATCTACACTCCTGCCTTTGACCCTTACAATCTTCTATATAAACAATGGCAGTCGATAAAATGGTATAGTCAACCGAGTCACTAGCAATATTTGCGATGTATTAGGTGACAATTCCTGCTTATCATCATTCTGTTTCTCAGAATGTTTAAACTTACTACCACGATGTAATAGAGAATGATGCCTCCTATCACATACAGAGCAATTCCGTCGTGTACAGTTCTGTACCCGATGCCCGGTTTCCAAACATTTGTAGCATCGTTGAGAGTTTTGAACTATTTCCTTCTTGTCGTTAAGATTAAGCTTCTTAAATTTGTCACATTTGTATAATGGATGATTACCGCGGCAACATGAGCATTGTGAGCTGGCACTAGAAACGTGAGTGGTCAAATTTACGAACGCCCGAACCTTGTGACCGCCATTCAAACCTTCCTGCTCCTACCTACGTAGTTGCAATATTTTCGAGGTATCGCGACCTATCCTCCGCGAATTCTACAAAATGTTTAAATGTAATCTTCCCGGAAGAAGTTACTATCTGCTTCTCCCATTCTCTCAAAGAAATCACATCTAATTTTCTGGACAGTATTTGGACAACCAGGGCATCCCAAACTTCTGTAGGACTGGCCAATGATTGTAA